TGGGTAGTGACTGTAGTGGTGCGTTTCCCCGTGTTGCATAATATGCTTAATCATTATTCTGGAAAATGGCTGTTGTATTTGTATACATGCTGAAGTGTCGCTTACTAGGTACATTTAGGGTCTTGCCTACTCCAGACAGATCCCATCAAAAGCCTGCCCTGAAGTCACATGCAGCAGCCGCAGAGCATGTAACAGCCACGCAGCACTCCCTCCAGCAATGCATGGTCAGTTCTCTGCAACCACTGCCGCCTGTCACCCAGGATAGATGCCCCCATCCCTGTGCTTAGGAGCCTTCTGGATGCAGTGCCCCCTAATATAGAGAACCATTAATTACAGGATTACCAGTTGGTGACTTTACAAATGATGCAAGGTGATTTCGCAGACCTATCTGCTGGGCTCTTCAGAAATGAAATTGTATGCTGCCAATTTCTGACACTTCTCCAATCTGTATTTTTGTAGAGAAAACCAAAAACACATGCTACATATTTAGCCAATAAGAAACTAGATTTTTTTTTAAACAACCATATTATTGTGAACTACACTATTTTATTGAAACATTCTCTTTTCAGAATAATGTCCCTTTAAGAAACCAATGGTAAAAAGACAATTCCTTTAAGACATTATAAAAATGTCTCTCAGCAGGAAGTGTAGCAGCTATACATTATGCATTTTTCATGAACATCCTTCATGAAAAGAAAGGTCTGGTCACCTTTGCAATTATGTAACACACATACAGCTAATACTGTATCTGTGTATTATGTAATCTGCAGTATAAATGCATCAAATTTACTAAAAAAAAAAATCCAATAGTTAATATCTACATTCCATTCGAACTTGCATAACTAACAGCATAATATAATTAAAGCTAAAATAGCCGACTCAGTCAAATTGTGAAGGACTGGGGATTTTAAGCAATCACAAACTCACTTTTAATATTAATCTAGTGGATGACCAGAAACTTTGAAAAGTTTGATCAATGAAATGAAAAGAAAAAAAAAAACAGTTTTTTTTTTTTTTAATTGAGGCCTTGTCATGATTAGTTGATAAAAACCACATGGGGTAAGTAAAGGGATAGGCTTTTGGTAAATTTGGTGGAGTTTCAGTAAACAAATTAAAGGCAAACACAATCTGTTTTTAAGTCAACATTCTTTCTGGTACAATAACATCTTGCAACTTGTCAGTATAGATAAACACTGCTGAGATGTCAGCCTGTGGTTACAGCTAGGAAGAGTAAAAACAAAAATCTAAATGTTTATTTTGACATGTCAGATTTGGATGAGGGTGCTAGGATTTGTTAGAGAAAACTCCAGAATATTATCAATTCATTTTAGCTGAAATATAATGTTTTTGTGCTAGAGAAGTGTAGAGGCCTGACATTCTGCACAGCCATGTGTACAAAAAGTTGTCATTTACCCAGACATTTCAAAATACATATATGAATTTAACTATTTATGTCCCAGGGTGCACCATGTCTTCCTGGACACATTCATGCTTTATGTTGCTGTATACTGTATGAAAAGTGCTGCCATGCAGTACAAAGAATTAAAATGCTGCTGGAAGAAAAATAATTTTAAAAAATCCTAAATTAACTGTCTTTGTTAGTTTTTTGTGTCTTTTTTGTACACTTCTTTTCATGTCGCAAGTTGTGACTATAGCAGAACTGGGGAATTTTTCCTGATCAGTTATTTTTGCCATTCAGATTCCAATTTGCAAGAATTCAGATTTTAATGAAGAACTCTGTGTATGTCTACAAAGATATAGAGGTTTTCGTAAATCTCTGTTGTGAGCATAGCATTCTTCGGGCGTTCTAAAGGGTTAATGTAACACTGTGGATTTAACCAGAATTTTATTATGTAATTTTAGCTGCATTGCTGATCATAAATATTTTCCTACGGGCTATGTATACTACAGATGTGAGGGTAGAACCTGTTTGGGTGTATCTTATTTTGGCTTTAATAAAAAAATAAATAAAGTATACAGTGGTTTCAATTACCTATTTATAACAGTGCATTGGATTTCTGGGTGGAAGAAAAAGCAGGCATAGCAATAAAGAAGGCATACTGTCATAAATTCCCCCAGGGGTGCCCTAAAGATATATAGATTGCTGCTTTGACTTTTAAAAAAATGGTAATTCAGTCACCTCACCCACTCATCTCAATGCTATAAGTTGATTGCAACAGCACAGCATGACACCCAGTGGCTAAAGAGAATGACACATCAAAGCACTTGTTTTATAAAAAAATAAAAAAAATAAAGGTTTTCTTCAACAAGATCAATTGCCTGTAATGTGTCTGATTTTTACTGTTTGGCTCTGTTCACATATTCAGCTCTATAAATTCAAATGAAGTATATTATTTATGATCAAAGCATGCGTGTGCAATTAACTTACATAATGGTATGTCTTATTAATATTGGTAATTTACCTTTCTTAAAGAATGCGAATGTTTTAATGCAGCTTTAAAAAAATCTAGAAAAAAATAAAGCTGTTAGGTTATTCCATGACCCCTTTTTTAGGCTCTCAATTTGTACCTTTAAGATTGTCATGTTAAGAAAAAAAAACCTAAAAGCTGTTTCTTCTTAAATTACTAGCAGAGTGAATCTAATTGTAAGCAGATGGCCTTTTATTTCTGGGTTAAGAATAATTACCCTGAGGACTGGACTAAGCCCATATCAATCAGTTTCCTTTAACAGATGACTAGGTAGATAATTTAGCTTTTTAGTACGGACAATGTCAGCTAAGGTATCAGTTTGTCAAGGTTTTAGGTATTAAACATTTTTATTTTGTTTTTACACCAAATAACTTGAAGCCTGTTTTGTTTGTTTTTTCCACTCCAGTTTTTTTTAAGTGAAGCTTCCTAGATTAAATGTCACCTCAAGTAATTTTTCATTGTAAAACACGCATTCTTAGATCAACTTAACACATTTTACCTGATCCATAAGTAATTGTATAATTGCAAAGTATGTGAAGGTGTTCTTCTTGTAATGGCCTTCTGATCCCACATGAGATAAGGACTGCCCTCATGTTGTGTTGAACCATTTGTTAAATACATTTTTTGGTCTGTAGTGAAGAGACTATGAGCCTCCAGGCTACATAGGACTGGGTGATAGGTGAACCACTGTCTAGGCCTCAAAATTAATACTTTTTCACTGTAAACCAAACTGTTTTGCAAAATTTAGGGGAATATAGATTTGACAATCTATAAGTCAGCTGTAGCAAGGTTTTGCTTATTTTAAGCAGAATTTTGTAATTTGGATTTAAGTTCATTACAATTTGCAGTTTGGTGCCTTTTTAAATACATCTTTTCAATATTTAACCGATTTAAAATAAATAAATAAGTCTTTCAGGATCAAATGACATGCCAGAACAGTTTAGAGAAAAGGTCTATCTGATCCTGAAAGGACTAAGATTTATTCCTTTAACATGATTTGGTGGGAGTTGGGATAAAAAGAGGGGGAAAAAAAAATTGCATACTCAGCAAATTTCTTCAGATTAATTATTTTGGATTACAACATTTCAAATGTGATTTCCAGTTCAATATATTTTGACTAAACCCATGTAGGTCCAATTTTAGTTAATTGTAAAATACGAGCCCAGACATGAAACCTTTTTGTACCCTGCACATTTTATACAATCTCTCCCAAAACCTGTTTGGGGAGGGGGGGATGAGGTAAACTGTGTGTTTATTTACACAGAATATACAATTACATTGTTGCAAGCACGGTTCTCAATCTTTAAAATGTATACATTATGAATGTTCCCAATTTTTGTTCCTGTCACACCTGTGTATAATGCTGTAGTGTGAATTAGAAATAAACTAGAATTTTGTTTGCACGTCATCGCTGGTTTCCCCCCTCCATGTCTTCAGTCTGCCTCCCTAGATGACTCTTTTCCACCTGATAAAGACTGACACTGCCTGGAAACGTATTTTTTTTTTTTTCTAGGAAACAATGATAGAATTTCACCCCTCAGGCTGTGCTTATACCCACATATACCAAGTTGCACATTTTTACCACTTTGATTTCCATCTACAATATTATGGTAAAAATGATACACTGTATTCTATTTTCAAATAGATTGGATTTAGAATGCAGGTAAGGCTTGCAGTTCTTATTTTTTTTTTTTTTTTTAAATGTCTAGTGCTCCACATCCCTCTCCCTCCTTAGTGGATCATTCCAGCCTTGTTGTGTGAAGGAAGCAGACTCAGAGCTGTCTGGAAGGGGGAGGGGTGCTATTGATGGATTCTGTCTAACCGCCTCCTGTGTCTGCTATAGGCACCATGAGCGGAAAGCCCCAGGGGTGCTGGCATTTGCTAAGGATTTTTTTTTTTTTTTGCAAGGCAGATCTTCATTTGGTTTCTTTTGAGACAGATGTGCAGTTTTTTTGTGGCTTTAAAATAATACCCTTTTATTTATATATATATATATATATATATATATGCAAGTAAGTTGACCAGGCCATGATTTATATATTTTAAAGTGATTAAAAAAAAATTAGTTATTCATTAATCTCCAAATAGTAGCGAATTACAATTGGAACTGCAAAACTGAGTCCAAAATAGCTGATCTACAAAAATTATTCAACTCATCTATAATCACAGTTTAGCAGTTTACCTATTTTAGCATGGATTTTGAAATTTGTATTTTAATTCACTACAATTTGAAGCTTAATGAACGATCCTGTTATAATTAAAAAAATCCTATACACATTTTCCATAACCCTTAAAATCCCATAAGCTACAGCAGATAATTTGACACACACCCCTGGTGACACTTCCAATAGTTAATAGGTATTAGTCTAGAGCCCTTATATGACAAACCTTGGCACCCTATGTGATTACAAACGCTGGCTAAGCCTCATGGGAAATGTAGTTTACAATTACCTAAGGTGCCAAGGTTAAACCTTGCAGACCTAGGCAGAGTCTACACCTGATGCATGTAAGGTACAGAGAAAAAAAAAAGTATTAAAACAAAATATTATAACACGGACAATATATAACACCATAGATTCATTATCTCATTTTATTTAGCAGTAGAATTCAGCTAAGAAAAGCAGTGACATAGTGTTCAGGGATTACATTCCACCTCTCTATTATTTAATATCCTTTGCCAGCACATATGATGTAATCTCTGGTTCTAAAACATTCATGCAGTCAAGGAACACAGTCCAGTTAGGCTGTCTTTGATATTCAGATTTTCAAAAGGGGACAAAAGCAGTGTGATTTTTTTTATTTTATTTTTTTTTAAAAAGAAACACTTTTATGAAAAAGTGCGCATGTGAGGGAGGCAAGGCTTTCAAAATATAAGGTCATGTCACTTGGGTATACAGCTATTTTACATCAAGCGCCTCATCTTTAAATATATGCATGAAACATAGTATGAAATTACAATCCAGCCAGCCTGCCTACAGTTCTACCACACACTGATTGCTTAGGCCCTCCCTAGGTATGTAAATAATTAAAAAGCTCTCTATCCACTAAATATTAAAACACCAAACGTGCTTCAGCTGTGGTAAATTTATTTTAAGGACAGATCTCTCCCCCAATAACCCTCCTCCCTCCTTCTCCCACCTTCCTTTCTCAGTTTGATCTGAAGCAGTCTGGCCAGACAGCCTAATATAAGTGAAATGATGCAGATGTGTAGGGGAGGGGGTGAAGTCAGAAGGTTTTCAGGACAGGATACCTACATTGACTGCATACAAAACACTAAGCCAGTGTCAGATTTCCAAGATATAAACCTACACAAGTCATAGTGTGCACAGACTGGAGTCTTAGCCCTTATCACTTAGACACTCCCATTCTCCCCCTCATTCTTTTTTTTTTTTTTTTGTAGCCTCCAGTCCTTTCTCTCCCTTTTAGTACAGGGGTGTATTCAGTAAATTAGGAATTGTGAAGAATAGACCTGACAATAGCAAATTTTACGCCAACTTTGCCAAACTGGAAAAATAATGAAACAGAATAATTTTTTTTTAAATAAAAATGTCTATTTTGGCCTAAAACGTGCAATTATTTCTTGTCAATTCTCCACTATTTCCATTATAGTGAATAAACCTCTATAATTTAAAATGTTAGACACACATACGCTTAAATTAGACAACATTACAGTATATACAAATGTGATCTTTGCTTGCTTTTTTTAACCCTTAAAATGTAACCATCCCCCTCATGTCTGGTACATAGCCGTCACGCCCCCTTCTTCTAGACACACACCGACACTGATACCATTTTCTATCAGTTCCAGCTGATTTATTAAAATCATCAATATACAGACTTTCAGCATTAGGAAAACAGGCATTGATGTTAACAGTGCACTTAACTCTGCTTTTCCCTCACTTGCTCTACAAAATATGCAGATGGTCTGTTCTAGTGTCTTTTACAGATTATATTGCACATTACGAAAAACCTTGATGTGCCTTAGCTAAAAATCGAGTATCCAGTTTGATATTTACTTTCAGGTCCCATCCACATATCACAGCATATGATATACATAGAATCCTACTATAATACAGAACATATACAATCTTTAAGCTAACAGCTCTCAGGTCTATATCACCATCTCAATAAATCTTTACCTACAAATATTGAACAAATCTGAACTATAGCTGTACAAAAAAAATGTGTTTTAAAACCACAAGGCCTTTTTTAGATGCAAGAATTTTTTATATATTTTTTTTTCTATTTTTTTTTTAAGCCTTTTTTCTTTTTTTACCAGGACAGAGTTATGAACATACTTGCATGCTAAAACCCCCCAAAACAAAACAAAACAACAACAAAAAAAACAGAAGATAGGAAGTGCCTGAAAGTCTCACTGAAATATAAGAAACAACAAAAAGAAATGACAGCAGGAATGTTCCCTTTAAACTGTACAAAAATACGCCTAAAAATATTTTAATTTTTAAAAAAGACTGAGGTCTGTTATGTATCAAAAAAAGGTTTCAATACATTATTTTTTGTTTGTTTTTTAACTGAGGTCTGGGTTGTCTGAGATTCAAGGAGGTATCAGGGAACAAGATACAAAAAAGTTGGCAAAAACCAAAAGAAAAAAAAAAATCACATTGTGAAACAATACATTTTTGTTGATCTGTTAAAAACTCTGATTAAATCAGTTCACAGTTTTGTGGAGCATGTCTCCTGCCTGCATGTGTCAGCTTCCCTGCAGCTTAAGAATCAGATGCATAGAAGAAATCAGTTTTCTCCCTCCAGAAAAGAAAAGAAAAAGAAATCCGGTTGTAATACACCTTTCCAGGATAATATTTCAAACTGTAGAATAAAAAATAAAACAAGACACAATGACCCCCTTGAGTAACAGTTGAGCTGCCCAGAAACATAACATTTCTGTAGACCTTCCTCCAGACCCACTTATCACTCATCTTAATTCTTCTTCAAATCCCTAATCTTACAGTGATTAGAAAAATTACACTGAGTAAGAAAAGCAAGACCCCAAATTTCATCATCAGAACATTAAAAAAGCCCCCACAAAATCCCATTTCTTTTTTTTTTCTTAGATTTCCTCCTCCAAAATGTCATTGATCAATCCCACCCAACCCCTTCCCCCTCCAAAAAATACAAATAATTAAAAATTACAAAAAAAAATTTACAAAAAAAATCAGTAGGTGAACACCAAGTCTGAAAAGTTGGCTTCAAGCCAGTCCCCTGCAATCATCTCGCTGAGTTCTGGGGTGCAGTAATCTGGAAACTCAAAATGAGAGCCCAGGCTGCCCTCACTGCATGAATCTAAGTCTTTATCCACTAATGAGAGTGAAAGGTTTCCTGAATTGGAGTTACCCAGTTCGGGTGCCTGAGGGTTTTGGGTGAAGTTTAAGCTCAAATCAAACAGCAGATCATCTTTGTCGCTGGTTGAGGTAGTGATAGACCTGACTGGAGCCAGGGTAAAGGTGGGATGATGTGCTGTGCTTTGCTTGGTAATATTTTTGAAGTTGTAAAAGAGTCTGTTGTTGGTGGCATTTGCCATCTCCTCATACATGCTGGCTCCTTCCGTGGATTCAGCAGAAGAGCTCAAGGTGGGACTAGCTGGCACTTTGGCTACATTATATTGCCTTAGCTGCTCCTCATCCTCCTCCTCTTGCTTTATCCTAATCTGCAACTCATCTTCTTCATCGTCCTCTTCCTCATCATCATCATCCATAAACACACATTTTACAGCCTTGCTCACCTTAAGGTTCCCAAAGACATAGTCCTCTCCACCGGCATCCTCCTGAGGTGACTTAGCCCCAAGCTTGCTGCTGGACTTCAGCTTGGGACACTTCTTGGCTGAGATCTTGTTGCTCTTGCCACTGGTGGTGGTGGAGGTGGCACTCTTGTCTGGAGAATGGCCGAGGGTGTGCTTAGATGAAGGTTCCAGCTTGGGTTTTTTCCTGGGTCGGTATTTGTAATCTGGGTAATCCGCCATGTGTTTGAGCCTCAGCCTCTCGGCTTCCCTGATAAACGGGATCTTCTCGCTGTCATTGAGCATCTTCCAGCGTTTCCCCAGCCTTTTGGAGATCTCTGCATTGTGCATGTCAGGGGACTGCTCCATGATCTTTCTCCTCTCTATCTTGGACCATACCATAAAGGCATTCATAGGTCGCTTAATGTGACCAGTAGCCGTTTTACACCAGTCTGGGTCACTTTCATCAAGGGCTACTGGGCTTCCAGCCATAAATTCTCCCTCCTCAGTGTCTGTGACTTCTGTGTGGTGACTGCTATCCATGTCCATGCTGTCTGCTTGTTGCACCATGCTGTCACCTGGTCCCCTTGGCTTGACTTCACTGAGGGTGAGTGGCTATCATAGAAAGCTGGATTCCAGCTCTGCTCCCCTCTCCCAGCCAACCCTACGAGTGCTTCTCACTCCCTTCTGCAAAAACTTCCAGCCTTCCCATCTACTAGTTATCTGAGCTATCAGAAGGATTACATCACTCCCTGGTGGACCAATGGCTGTTACAAGACCAGCCCTAACGACTGCCAGTCCCCTCCCCAACCGCACACCCACTGGCTGCTATTGGAGCCAAAATCCCAGAGAGGGCCTGGCTACAGATCTCAAAAAAATACTAGCCACTGGTGAGCGTCTGTATTATGTGCTGTGTCTGGGAGTTTAACCTCTTCCCTGCTGGCATGGACCATCCCAGGCTTCAGCCCCTAAAAACCTGCATCTGCAGACACAAGGATGTTTTACTGTTAGAACGTTACAATGTATCCGAATCTGCTGGAATCGATTTCACTGCTCTAAATGCATCTCGTAACAACATAATGTGCACGTGTTAAGATACATGTGTGTAACACACAGACCCACACACCACACACTACACACTGTATTTAGATTACAGGGAGCAGGGGAGGGGTGTTGCATCTGGCTTGTCCAGAATAGATATAGTCCAGCCATCTGTAGCCCTCACACGTTCACTTTTTATATTTAGCCAGAGCTGAATGGGAGAATTAAAAAAAAAAAAAAAACCTGAAGGCTGGGCTTCAGATTTATGATAGACCAGTTGTCTGCTGTAGTATTTCTTGGAAATCAGGTATAATAATGACCATGCAGGTCATTTAAATCATGCTTTTTTCTGCACTGCAACTTACCAACTCCCACTAATCTCAGCCACACGCTGATGAGTGATGAGACTAGCAGTTCCCAGTTCTTTATAAAGTTGGACAGTGATTGATACCTCTGCTGCCCAGGAGATTCTGCAGCACAATCATTAAAAACACACTAGCCAAGTGTCAATACTTTTGTGCCATGCAAACAGTCTCATGCTTTCCTTAGGAAATAAAGAAAAGGTGTGATTTCTAATGAGGTTAGCATTTTGTGCATGTGTGTCTGTGCATTTAAGGAGGGGTGAATGATGTAATGTGGTTTGGGAGCACACCAATCCTATCCAGTAATTTGACTTTACTTAGAATCTAACATCAATTTGGGGAAATAATACATAATGCAGTTACTGGGCACACAGACAATGGCTGGAGTCAAAATGTTTCACAAAGAAACGGTTCTGAAATTCTGTCTACATGCCCTCTCTGACCTGCTTGATAACAATACATGGAGAATTTCACTTCAATAGTGGAGGGGGTGGTCCTCGCATAGGAAGGCAGCTGAGCTCCAGAATTCTGTAAACCATCTGCCAATCAAGATCCATAAATTGGAAGGCAAGCATCTGGTGAGGGAAGGTGTTATAAGACAACCAGCAGCCCTATCCATCAATGTATTCCTGGATTCACCCATATGAATTCATTACATCCATAACAATAAGCACATATATCTCTGCTCCTGCTGGGGCTATGCAGTGTCATTCATTCATAAAAATGATGTCACCTTTTCTCTGCTACAGAAATCAATTTAACTTCCTCTCTAGAATGGAGTGTGCATGTGACAATATATCCAGAGAAGGAAAAACATAATATAATAATAAAAAGCAAACAGCAAAAAAATAAAAAATAAAAATACTTTGTAAACAATCATGATAAACCTGTTTACTTATCTACTGATATCATTTAAGATCAATATAATGAATGCTTACCAGAAGCCTGCAGCTCTGCATTAATGCAATGCTTAGTTACTGGTATGTGCAGTTATTAAATTTAATCATACCTGGAAAAGTCTTCTCATTTACTGCAATGCTTTTTTTCCCCCTGATGATGTGATGGACCATTTATAGTGACCAGGTTAATGATATTCTTATATATTAAAGTGATTTTCTAAACAGAGCAGTGTTTATTTCATTATTAGCCCATTTACCACCCACACACTCCTCTTCATAATGCCTGATCCCTTGACTTTTTGTTGCAAGTTATTTATTTTCCCATTCTGGCATCAGATTACATCTAATGCTTGTCTTGTATTTTAATGTCTATATCCTTTCAGAAAATAGTTCCCTATGTATAAAATCCACATCATTTTACAAGAAGACACTCAATGGTTGGTCAGACATATTATACCTCTAGTGTGCAGTAGCCATGGTGGGACATTTCATGCTATTTTCTAGAAGCCATTAAATGTGGCAATTTAACTACTAAACAGTGAGTTGTGGCAAATATGAATACAAAAAAAATTAAAGGAACACTACAGCTTAACAATACAAACCTGTACTCCTAACATTATAGAGTTTATACCCCTAGTCTTATGAAGTCCCCCTTTTGCAATACAAATGAAGAAAATTAAAGATTTACATACATATTTCCAGCAGAGAAGGTCTCTTGGCATTACTCACCTCACCATCTCCAGTGACGTCATCTAGGAGGCATGGCCTCCTCTGCTAATAATCTAATAATTTAATGCGCATGTGTGGCAAGTGCGTTGTGCACATTTAAAGTTCCACATAGGAAAGCATTGAATTCAGAAACCATCTCTATTGGTAGAAACTAAATTAATTGGAGGAGAGGAGGGAGCACATCCAGAACATGCACACACAAAATTACAGCTTTAAAATTTACAAGGTAACTTTAAACCATCTATTTTAGCAAACAAATACGGGGTTCCGGTTACTTCATATGGCCAGACAGACGTCTTAAGTGCACTGCTAGGTCAGAGGACTTTAAAATCTGTAGGTCCTACACTATTTTACATGGGAGATAAAAATGCGGACTGTAATACTTTTCTGAAAATAATGCTTTCCTGTGGTCACCTTCAAATGGACAACTATAGTGGAGTGGTGGTGTGTACAAACCAAAGTGAATCTGGTCTGGGTTCCAAATTTAAACAGAAAAATAAATATCTAGTGGTGTGTTGGGAGTGAAATGAGTGTGTTTTGCTGCTTGTGATCACCTGATAACAATGTGACTATAAGGACATGCACTGATGTTTTTAGCCCAAGGCAAACTAGGCATTTGCATTGGGCGGCACTAACCAAGGGGCGGCACTCAGCTTCCCTGGTGTTCCCCCTGTCCCTGGGGATTAGTGGGGCCTAATTGTGAGGCGTGGGGGCTATGTTAGACTCAGAGGCGGCGAGGGAGCTGTCATCTTCCGGCTCACGGCATCAGTAAACTGCCCATGAGGGCAGGAAGATTACAGCTCCCTCTCCGCCTCTGAGTCTAACACAGCCGCACGCCTTACAGCAGCCCCACTGGACCCCAGGGAACGATTCACGCCAGGTAGGAAGACTGGGAGGAAAATTTTAATTTATAATAATTATAATTTGTGAGTGTATGTGTGTGTATCTGTGTGTATGAGTGTATATGAGTGTATGTGTGTGTATGAGTATATGAGTATATGTGTGTGTGAGTGTATGTGTGTGCAGGGCCAGCCTTAGGGCTGTGCGAACTTTGCAGTCGCACAGGGAGCCATGGGGCAGGGGGCGCCCTGAGGCTTACACAGCTCACACATTGCTGGCTACCCGGGTGGAGGATTTCATTATTCTCCACCCGGGATAAAAAACAAACAAAAAAAACATTGCAGCGGGGGCGGGGCTTAGCGTGTGGCAGGGACAGGCTAAATGACAGTGTGGGCAGGAAGTGCCGGGTAATTGCTGCATGGGAAGTAGGAAGGAGTCCTTGCTTCCCCAACAACCAGAATCCAGG